ATTGTCACTACCACTGAGCTATATCTATACCCTCAGCCTTTTTTATTTTAAGATAAAGTTGCATAGGCTGTCCTGAACTTTGAATTCTCCTGCCTCCGCCTCTCAAGTACTGAGATTACAGGCAGACTGCCACCATGCCCAGCCTCCTTTCTCTTTTTTAAAAAATCTGTATTTTATGTGCAGAATTTGAGGCCACCCTAAACTACATAGTGAATTTCAAGGTCAGCCTAAACTACATAGGGAGGCCCTGTCTAAAAAAGTAAATAGATAAAAACTATGCTTTTAAGAGATGTTTTTAAGAGATAGGGTTTCACCATGTGGCTCAGGTTGGCTCTGATCTCGGGCCTGTGATCATCCTTCCTTAGTCTCCTGAATAGCTAGGAACGTAGGCCCATACCTCTGCTTGCAATTTCAATTCTAATGTTATAATTCAGTATCTGGAAATACTCATATTTTTGAATATTAGTGATTTTAGCCGAGTATGATAGTGATAGCCTGTAATCCCAGCACTGAGAAGGCTGAGGTGGGAAGGACACTTAGCTTGAGGCCAGCCTGGGCTACATAGTGAGTTAAAGGGCAGGCTGAACTACATAGTGAAGCCTTATCTCAAAAAGATCAAAACTAGAACCTGTAAGATAACTCAGGACTAAGTGCTTGCTTGGGCAAGTGCAGTGACTTGGGGCTCAGTCCCTGGCACCCCATACAGTACAGGACAAATACATTTTTTTAAAAAGTCAAAAATAATAATAGACTGGGTGTGGTGGTGTGCTCCTATAATCCCAGTACTTAGGAGGTGAGGCAGGAGGATCTCTGCAAGTTTGAGCTCAGCCTGGGCAACAAAGTGAGTTCAAGGCCAGCCCTACATAGTGAAACCCTGTCTAAGACAGACCCCCCCCAAAAAAACCTAAATAAAAATAAATATAAAATTATGTTTGTAGAAAACACTATATAGGCCTTTCAAATTCCACAGTAATGTAACTTTTACATTTGAGCTCATGCATAATATACCTGTAAAACTTTTTTGACAGTGCTGAGAATTGAACCTAGGCATGTTAAGCAAGTGGTCTATCACTGAGCTACACCCCCAGTGCCTGTACATTCAGCAAAATAATACTGTTGTGTGATCTGTGTGGTGCCATCTTCTGTTCCACTTGATATTAGTGTAGGGGCTGGAAGGTATAGTGTAGTGGTGCAATGCAAATTTAGCCTTCGTGAGGTCCTGAGTTTGATCCCCAGTGCAAAAGGCAGTAAAAACCACAGAATTGATGTTTCTGTCCCACTGTAGGTCAGGTCGGTGCTTGGTTTGAAAAATACTTTTCTTGAGTTTAATTCCTAGTACCAAAAAAAAAAAGAAAGAAAGAAAGAAGCTTTTCCTTTTCTTTCTAAGCCAGATGTGATGGTGCACAACTCTAATCCCAGCACTCTGAGAGACTGAGGCAGGGACCTGGGTATACAAATTCAAGCCCAGCAAGACTGTTTCTCAGAAAGCAAAAAGGAGTATAGCTCAGACACTACCACCACTCCCCTCACTCAAAGAAAAGGTATTTTTCTATAGGATAGGCCAGAACTTCAAAAGCTGTCACTTCATCTCAGATGAGTGATAACTTTTTGCCTTCTGATTTCCATACTGGGCTCTTAAGTTTTTCATCCTGCTGAGGATGGTGGTTGCAGGCCTGTGTTCTCTGCTCAGGAGTCTTGAGGCAAGAGGATCACCATGAGTTTGAGGCCAGCCTTGTCCACATAGTAAGTTCATAGCCAGCCTGAAGTACCTGGGGTCACTGTTTCAAAAACTAACTAGGGTTGGGGATTTGGCTCAGCCGTGCACCTGCCTGGCAAGTGGAAAGTCCTGGTACTAAAAGAAATCACTAAGTAAATTTAGTTGTTATCTTTTGAGACAGGGGTCTCACTATTCAGTTCAGGCTGACCTTGAGCTCGACTTTATAGCCCAGGCTGGTCTCCAGCTCACAAGTATCCTCCTGCTTCAGCTTCCTGAGTGATGGAATTATAGATGTGTGCCACCACACTGGCCAGTTTGTTTATTTTTGGTACTGGGGATTGAACGCATGACTTTGTGCTTGCCAGGCACACATTTATTTCTCTGAGCTAACTCCCTGGCCCCTTCAGGGTTTTTTGGGGGTTGGGTTTGTTTTGTTTTGTTTTTTTGTTTTTGCTCTGAATGCCTTCAGGGCAGGTTTGGCTGGCTGGAGTTGTGGGATCCAACCACAGCAACCTGAGCCTGACTGCTTTGTTGAAGCAACCACTTGAAGAACTGAGCTAAGGGGCAGGCCCCCCCACTACGTTTTTTTTGTTTTTTGTTTTTTAATCAAATTACCAAAAAAAAGTTCATCCTTGGCTTAGTAAGTGTTGGCAGTTTCTGGCTGTCCTTTTTATCTTCATTCTCCCCCCTACTGAGTTGAATCCAAAGACACTTTACCAATAAACTATATTACCAGCCCTTTTTAATATTTTGTGACAGGGCCTATTCTGACCTTGAACTTGCCTCCATCTTCCTTGGCATACCACTGTGGCCAGCTTTGCTCTTGCTTAAGAGTGCTAGTTCAAATCTTTTGTTTTGTTTTGTTTTGTTTTTTAAACTGGGGATTGAACCCAGGACCTTGCACTCGCCAAGCAAGCACTCATTCTGCTGAACTATCTCCCCGGCCCAAGATTGCTAGTTGATGGAAGTTCCTCATTAGTATGCCTCAGAGTTCCAGAATCATTTTTCACAGACTTTAGTCTTGTACCTATATGCTGCATCATGAGTGGATGTTGAATACAAAGAATGGTATAATTTGGGTGATGTAGCTTAATCCCACAGATGAGTTTGCAGGAGCTGGGATGTAGCTCAGTAGAAGAGCACTTGTTTAGCATTTGCAGGGTCATAAATTTGAACCCAGTACCGAGAAAGAATTAACATATTCAAGGGAGTTGTGGAGGTAAGGGCTGTGGGGCTCCTGACCTGGTAGAACTCAAGCTTGGACTGTTGGGCTAAGGCTACATACCCCACCCCACCTCACCCAGTGCTGGGGTGAACCCAGGGCCTTGGCACAATAGCCTCAGCCTTTTTTTATTTTTTTAGCTTGAAACAGTCTTGCTCGGTTGCCCAGGGTAGGCTGGAACTTAAATCCTCATGCTTCAACTTTTCAGAGTACTGGGATTATAGATAGGTGTTAGTACTCATTATTCCCCTTCTTTTTGCCATCTTTTTGCATTATGTTTAAGAGGATAGGGAATTAAATCACAATCATGTTTCTTTGTCCTTTTCTATCATCTTTGTGATGTAGTGGTGTTAAAGTTTTGGGTAGGCTAGCCCTACCCATTGAGGATCAGAGCATAAATTTACCACTTTAGTACACCAAAACATGGAAAATGGCCTTTGGTAGAAGATGGGAGGGCCAGGGAGATAGCTCAGTAGAATAAGTGCGTAAATGCAAGGACCTGAGTTCAATCCCCGGTTCAGCCAAAAAAAAAAAAAAAAGAGAGAGAGAAGAAGATGGGAGGTCAGCTTAAAGTGGAGACTTGGAACAGTGGCTAGAGTTCTTAGCAGTCTACCCTAAAGCCAATGAAGAGCAGAAAGATGATTTTGCTCCTGTTATTATTTTTATTGTGCTGGGGAGTATATTAGGGCCTCCACACTGAGCTTTAGTCGCAGTCCATTTTATTTTTATTTATTTATTTTTGCGGAACTGGGGATTGAACTCAGATCCCTTGCGTTTGCCAGTCAAGCGCTTATCCTACTGAGCCATCTCCCCAGCCCTTATTTTTTGTTTTGAAATAGGGTCTCCCAGGTAAGTTTCCCAGTCCCTCAGTGCTGGGATCACAGGCATGTGCCACTGCACATGGCTTCCTACTTTTCTTTCTTTCTTTTTTTTTTTTTAATGTATTTGGTATAGGGTCTCACTATAC